GCTGCCAGCCGCAGGCAGAGCAGCAGAGCCGCTGGGATGGCACCGAAATCCTCCCACTGCTGCGACGGAGATACCACCACAGGCACTGGCCACAGATCCAGCAGGCATGTGGCTCTGTGCTTTGTGACAGGACGATACGCAAGAAGAGGGATTGAAAAGGGAAGATTTCTATATTTCCAGGTTTAGGAAAGATTGCTATTTTTCCAGGCTCTGGCTTGCTTAACTGCAACATCCACCCTCTGTAAAGCACCCACTGCCAGGCTCCCTGTGCCTTCGTGGGTGCTGAGAGCAGGCGGCCGCAGCACCCTGCCCCGCACCTCCCCGGAGTCACCTCTTGTCCCTGGCAATAACCTCGGGGACCGGGACTTTGCACCCTGAGGCCGCGCAGCAGATGCTGCCCCTTACCACGGGGAAGCGAAACAGGGACCACCACGTACCCCAGCCCTCAGCACCTCAACACACCAGGCTCGGAGCGATGCACCCTAATCTCCGGGTCCCTGACTCCCCAAAACAAGGCAAGGCTGGCTGGCAGCGAGCGTAGGGCAGCACCACCCCATGATCCTTCTGTTGCTGCAAGTTGATAAGAGGCAGCAATTAAGGAAAGAGCTCCCGGCCACATGCACAGGGCAGCCCCCTCGCTGCCCTCAGTCAGTCATTACCAAATCAGTGTCCACCTGCAGACCCAGTCTGACCCTCTCTGCAATTACCCACGCTAATTAGCTCCTTCGCTCCTCAGCCAGATAGCATCTCCCTGCTCTGCGCTGCCCAGCCTGACCCTCCAAGCCACCAGCATCTGCTGGAAGCACTGGCAAGCGCTTCCGTGGGCCACTTCAGTTGCAGTGCTCAGCCTGGGCAAGCTCTGATGTGCAGCAAGGTGATGAGTAAGTCCTTTGCTGGGGATTTCATGCCACCAAGGCTGGTGATACTTGCCCTCCTGCTTCATCATCCTCACCAAGAGCAGAACAGTGAACAACCGGCTGGTTGCACGTTTGGTGCAGTAAATACCAACCTGCAGCAAGGGCCCTGCTAGAAGGATTGCAAGGAAGCAAGAAGCATTGCACCTTGGTGGGCTGGAAATGGCATCCCTCTCCTCTGACGTGGCGCTGGGAGGCTGTGCATGCCAAAGCCGGCCCCAGTGCCTCTGTGGTACCGCCACAGTGAAGTCTCTGCGCTGGCTACCAGGCTCAGGAGATGTTTATCACGCACACATTGACAGGCAGTCACGGTGACTCGTGCCACGGGTCTGGCACCCTGGGCCGAATCCTGGATCCTTCAGCAGGTTTCAGCTCAGCATTGTGAGTCACTTATGCCACCATCCTCCTTTACTTTTTTCTTCCTCCAGAAAACATTGTTTTTCCTTCAAATGGGAACAAATACACCCAATACCGGGAATTCTGCTAGATAGAGTCCAGATGACAAGTTCTCAGAAAACACTGTCAGCTGCTGAGATTCAACTTCAAGAGACATCATCCAATGTTAACCATAAACAACAGGGGCAACGAAATGTCTGGCAGATCTTGAAGTGACATGAGATTCCTGCGCTCCACAACAAACCCATTTCACACCACGGGAAAGGTCACCGCTTTAATCCACTTCTGGGTGGAATGTACACAAACGTCATTCTTCTTAACATCTGTAATTAAACAGCCTCTTGCTTTGCTATCCACCCCGTGTTTATTTTCCCATTTGCTAACATGGTGGATGGTAATATAATATGACACTGAAGGGATACAGGCTGCTACAGGCGGGCTTTTGACTTCTTTTTAGCGATTTGCCTGCAGAGAGCTGGATGCGAAGGGTGGTTGTGCTGCTCGGATCCAGCAGTGATTTCCTTTCTGGATGTACAGCATCTTTGCATGCTGAAATAATAACAGTAAAGAAGAGGGCGACAGCAAACAGAAACTGCTGGCAGAGATCCCCAAACGTGTCGACTTCTTGCAAGGAGTTGCTGAGGTCTCTGCTGGGCTCCTACGAAGGAGGCGACAGCCGCTAAACTGGGAGGTTGAGGCTTGGTCTGTACTTCTGCTACAGAAAAGTCTGGTTTTCAACACAGGGAATGTGCTGGAGCATTCAGGAGAAGTCTTCCGTGTCCCTGTGGCCACCAAGGAGCATCTGAAATAAACCTGAATATTCCCTAACGGGGCCCTGCCTTGCCCACAAAGTGCTCTCGGGTACCACCGCCAGCTCCCACCCCACCGCACAGAGCCCAGGAGGAAAAACCCCACAGAAGCAAGTGGGGTTTTTTTGCCTCTCCAAACTTTTTGGGCTGCAGGGCTAGCACAGGCTTTGCGGGGAGCCATGCCGGGAGCCGGGCGCGATGGCTTGCGTGGGAATGGCGTCAGCCATCGGGAAGGGCTGTGGGATACGGCTCTTTGTAGCCCAGAGGCATAGCTCAGATCCTAGCATGCTCTCAGCAAAACAACACCAAGATGTTTATTTTCAGAAGGATACAATGTTTGACAAAACAAACTATATTTGATTAATACTGACTGCTTTTCTGGGTTTTTTTTGAAGGCAGTAAGTTTTCTGACTGTATAAACATGCCAGGATCGCTTCATCTGCCTACATCAAAATTTCAGTTACCTCATCTCCGGGGAATGTCCTTCAGTAACATTTTGACAAGTTTATTTAGGGGATTGTTTATGGGGTTTATTTGCTTTTTGTTTTTTCTCTCCATTTTTACTTCTTAGGGAGGTCTCCCATGAGCAAGCCGCAGGTTGGAGGTGAATAAAACCCATGGCTTGTCTTCACACGGAGAGTTTCACCATGTCCCTAACCAAACACCCAAATTCCCATGCTGAGGACCAGTGAGCATCCTCCGACGTGATGCTTTCACCTCATTCCCCTCTGGCTGCGGATTTCATCCCCCTGACACCTTCATACCTGGCTCCTTGCTAAGGGAACAAATAACGCACATGTAGGATTTGTGATTTTGCTGACGTCCAGCTGAGTCCCCACCAGCTGCGGAGCTCACACTGAAAAATCCATGGGTTTCTGAGAATGGACACCTGCTTCTGGGGCATGTGGCTCGTGATCTGGTAAAGCTTTAGCAGCATTTGTCAATAATTAAGCTGCAATGCTGCTGGAAAGGTCAGGGAAATTCCCACCAAGGCACTCAAGGGTTTGGGAACCAAATGATATTTCTGAGATGCTTTAGCTTAGGTGAGCTAGAAAGCCTGCAGGGCAGGACTTGGCCAGTGGACTTGTCCATGGCCAGTCCCACCACCAAGCTACGTGCTCTGAGGTTGGAAGGAGGCATCTCAGCAGCGCATGTGGCTCTGTTTTGAGCATTTTGAGGTCTTTGTGTTGTTTCCTGTGTTTTGCTTTAGAGACCTATTCAATACCCCAAGTCTGTCCCCACCAGCTTGTCCCCCTGCTCCCTGTGCTTCTTCCACCCCAGGACTGCCCCACCACCACCTTCCAAGCGGCTGCAAAGGTCTCACCATGGACCAGCAGCTGCCGAGGAAGCAGTGCAAGGCGGTCACCTCTTCCCCTCCCGGCACAGCAGTCCCCGCCATGCCGCCTTGCCAGGACCCTGCCCCGTGCCCCAACCGAGTGCCCTCCGAAGCTGGGGGGCAGCTGGGAATTGCCCTCTTGGTTGGTGGCATCTCCCTTGCCGTACCCATGGCCCAGCACGCACCGGTTTTGACTCAAAAGCAAACCAAATCACCTGACAGCACGGGATTATGCGTGTCCCCCATCGGCAATCGGGCAGGAGCACCCCCGTGTCCAGCTGCCACGTCTGCAGACACAGCTGGTGCTCTCTGCACCTCTGTGCAAGGGGGATCTTGTTTCGGTCGGAAGCCCCAGTGAATCCAGTCCCACCTCCCCGCTGGGTCCCTGCCCCAGAGCGCTTGCGGGCTTTGCTCATGGAGATGAACGAGCAATTCTGAAAAACTCCCTGAGAAACAAACCCGAGACACTCTAGATTTCACTTCCCAAAACAGGGGGAGCTGTAAGCACCAGCTGTTTCTAGCAGCTGTTCAGTGCGTTAGATTATACCATTCCCGCACTAAACTATTAGTCAATTGATTAATGAACTGAGACTTCCCATCCAACAAAAATATTTTGCTTTTAAATTATAATTTGATGCATGGTTAGTACAGAAATACATTACACACGCTAAGCACATGTTTACATCCCATCGCCACCCTCAGGCACAGGGAAAGGTGCTGGCTTGGCCACCTTTTCCAGGCCACTTGCAAACCCACCCAGAGATGCACTGGCAGCCCGATGCTGCTCACTCCTGCCCACACATGGGACGTGCACGGTGGCTCCTGGCCACCCCGCTGCTGCCACTGGAGTTTAATGAGAGCTGCAAAACCGGCCAGGAAGAGTTGAGGTTAACGGGCAGGGGGGAAGGGCTCAA